ATTTATATATTCGGGTTCTAAACTCATTGGGTTCTAAATAAAAAATTTGTTCATTGAATTTTATTATCTTCAACTTATTTATATCATTAATTCTTCTGATTAAAAATTAGATTCTTTTGCCATAAATGGCAATTGCTACATTTTTTACTGCGAGATTTTTAATTTCACTTTCCGATTTTCTATTCACTCACTGTTGTTAGAATAAACGAGTGCGAGTCGACATTAGCCGCACGCTTCCACTCTCTAAGTGAATTCTGAGCCTGACTCTAAATTTCTTCATTTGCCTCCTAGTTTCCTTAACTTATACATTTTAAGAACGCACGAGATAGATATTTCTCTTTGGAACGAGATCACAGCTTGAGCCTGGACTCGTTAAATTAGAGATATAGGCACACACGCGCTGATTCGAATTTACACGCAACGCCCGATTAATATGATTTGTGGTCGGACTTGTTTGCCTGAAAAAAAGACAAGAAAACACGGAATGTTCAGCTCACTTGCACACGCACTGCATCGTCTTGAGAGCACATACCAAGTGAGATACTATGTGTTCACATTGCTCGATACGCTTGCGCGAACGAGGGGGGATACTATTCATTATTTTTTTAGAATAACTATAGAAACGATAAAATTTCTAAATTTTAAGAGAAATTTTGGAAAGGAAATAGTCGCATAAAAATTAAATATTTGCATTTTATCTGTCAATATCTCATGACTAAAATAATTAACTTGTGACTTGATTGGAAAGAAAATTTTTTTTTAAGTTGAAAAGGAAATTTTTTCACCTCTAAATGTATGATATTTCACTTTATTTCTAAAGTGAGACAAGAATGATTATTCTAGTCTCACATAATAATTAATATACTTATTTAATAATTAATTATTAAAATATTTATTTAATAATTATAAAATAATATAACACAAATCAAAATCAATTTTCAACGCTAGTCGATTATAATTGATTGCCTTCCCGTTCGAACGGCGACCAATGTACGATATATATACGTATGTACATATTGGGTGCTCACGCACTTTTTCTCACACACGTGCAAAACTGCGTGTCGCATGCTGGCTGCCACCGAAACAGATCGACCAATATTAGAAGTTAAACGAAACAGCAACAACATTAGATATCCACTGAATGTGTGTGTGTGTTTTACAATGACAGAAAACACACTCTGCACGGGGCGTCCGCACGTTTTACCTTTTCCTTTTTCCTCCCCTTCAAAAGAAAAAAAAAAAAAAGACAGATTGCAAAAAGATGTGAGCACTTCGAGAAACGAAGTTTCGTAATTTTTGACGATTCCTTCGTTAATTGAATTGCACTCTTTTTGTGTTCCGGAGGTTTACTTACTTCAAGTACCTTTGTTTGATTATTTCTTTTACGTTTCCTTCGATCGTTTCTCTCTTTTTCTTATCACAATCTTTCGCGATTAGTTTCTTATTAGATTTAGACACTTAGATTCGGATATATATCCAACTTTTGATCCAGACTCCATGGAAGATGATGATAAGAAGAGAATTAATTTTATATAGGTCTCCTCTTTATGTGTTTTATTACTTGTTTAAAATTTTAAAAAATTTGGAAAGAAGGAAAAATTTGTCTTGAAAGATTTTTTGTATAACATTAAACGATTTTCTTCTTGTCGTTACTTCCGACAGTATCCATTATTCAGGAAATCCCCGATATACAATCCATTAATGCCAATTAAGATCAGAAGACCAATTAATTATCAATTATAACAGTATATGATCAAAATCTCATGTTAATTATTTGAAGAGTAATAGTGTACAATATAAAATGCATATAATGGTACTGTACTATATTCATGTTTACACAATTAACATACGCATTACATTCGTTGAAAGACCAATCGCAGGAATATAAAGAAACAAAAACATTTCATTAAGTATATATTTCCACACACACCCAGTAGGTTCGTACACGTATTAGTTAACGACGATATACATATATATATATATATATATAATATATTGTAAAACCATCAGATGTTCTATTCACTATTTTCTATTCATTGTATTATATAATTTTTCAGCCAATTTGAAGTTTTTTCGACAAAACATTCATATTCTTTAATTAATATCAAAAGAATTTTAACAAAATATTAATCTGAGTGTTACTGCTAAATCTAAAGATGATTATTATGCAATAATCAAGAAAGTACGATAAATAACATATTTGATAGTTTTTTTAGTGTCTGATTAATTGATTAATTGATCGTAAAAGATAAAAAATTGTCTGTGCGTGAGATAATTTACATTATGCTAGTTTAAGCTGTAATATTTTAGTTTTTGAAACTCAATTATAACATAGAGGAGTCTTTATCGAAAAAGAATTTTTAAAAATTGTTATTTTTCAAAATTTTATAGACGTTAAATAGAGATGCTTTTACAATAAAACTTTTGTATAAAATATTTTTTTGATATCTTGAGTAGTTGTATCGAGATATATCGAGAAAAGCCGAAATAAGCTATATAGTATGAAAGATTGATTTGAATGATTTTTCTTAGAATCGTTTTTAGCAACAATCAAAAATTTCTAAATTTATCTATTTATTCTCTTTCGC